GTGTTGACAGTCTAACTAAAGACCAAACAGAGAAGGCAGGGCAAAGCGCTTGCTGTGGGAATAAGCTCTGTCTACAAACCTGTCTGCACTGGACTCTGACAGGTTCGCTTTGTGCAGAAATTGCCAACTTGGATACTTTCCGCATGACATCATCGATTTCTGGGACCAACAACTTTCTTGATAAAATGGCCTAAAATACAAAAGGAAAAGACATACTCATTTCATATTTTAGTGCAAACAGCCTGACGTTTATACTAAGCCAACTTGATGCTAAAGCAGTCACAGGCAGTTTTCAAACATAATGAGAAAGTATCTCTGAAAGAACATAAACTTAAAAATGATCAAAATGGTCAATTGTAAATTTGTGATACATACAAGTAGAGTACCTGCATCTGTATAGAATTCCCTGGAAGTTTAAAATAGAGCTCATGTTCAAACATTTTAATACGTAGATATGTTAGGTATAATTTATCTACCAAAATCATAATATTCATAAATTACTTGATTTCAGAAGTCTATAGCTAGTCAAAACACCATGTTCCACGTTATTCTAAATATCTGACATGGGGCTCCTAAACTGAACGGTCCAGCGTTCTGGTAACACCATACCTTCAGAAGACCAAATGCAGTGGCTTGTCTTGAAGTATCATAAATGTCCTCTTCAGCGTATGCTAGCAGAACCTGAAGCTGCTTTTCAGTTATGTGATATGACTTCACTTTCTTCACAAGTATGGTCACACACTGCAAGTTACAACAGTGAGGTCAATAGCCAGGACATCCCACCAATCAGCATCCAGTGAAATGATACAGACTTAATACAACATTAATGCTTTTTCACACAGGATATCAACCCTCTGGCCTTAGCAAATTAAACTGGAAGAAATTTTGACTAAGACCATGAAAGATGATGAGGAAAATTAACTGATGTTAATCCTGGTCCTGGCTTTTTCTAAGTGCAAACAACTCACCTTGAAACAATTGACCACCAGGTGGAAGTTCTGGCCTCTGGCAGCCCCAAGTTTTGCATAATCCTTCAGCAGAAGGAAAAGGTGTTTCGTTAGCTGCTCTGCTTTTGTTTCTATGGAAGGCAGGGGGAACCTCAAGATCCAGATGAGGCACTGTAAGGCACCTGTGATCACCTGAAAAGCAAAAACACACAAAACCAATCAACTTATGAAGCGACCAAACCCAACGATCCAGCACCTGAGGCTGTGCAGTCTATGAGCAATTGAGTTGAAGGGATGGCATGCTCTGCCCAGCCCACTCAGGAAG